TTCTCTATGGTACTCACCATTTCCTTGCTCCGGCTTCTGGAAGTCTACGTGAATGTCCTCTCTAAGCCCAAGAAGCCACTTAGAGAGATTCTAAGTAAGAGGGATGGAACTGGAAGCAAGACCACTAGGTGCTCCGGAAACAGATGAATAATGTTTGGTCCACATAACAATCACAGCAGTTGAAATCCTTACTTGTGATTGCATGGTTGTGCAAGATGGTCACCCAAGGACTAGTCCATCTGCTTAGATTGGACTAGTTCTCCCTGTGCCTCATCTGGGATCTGAAATGGAAGAAGGATGGGGAGGAAACAGTATTGAGTAACCAGCAAATGACAGGTTCTTGACCTTCAGCTCTTTCCCTAGGCAGAGATTCCTTCCAGTCACCCAAAGGGCATTTGCATTTAAGGCAGAACAGTCTTCAGCCTTCCAGAGCACATACTTGCATTCTTCATGCAGCTCCACAGGACTCTTCCTTCTGGCAACAAGATCATAGGTGGAGGAATTTACTCATACCAGAGCATCAGAGGCACCAAGTCCTGGCCAGTCTGAAAATTTGAACCCGATTTCCTCCAGGGATTCAGGGGTACAAGGTTGAGGTTGTGGTTTTATTTATATAACTTAGCCCCTTATAGATCAACACGCACACTTTGATATCAGCATGGGTGCTTTTCAGGAAGAACACATTTTTCAAGTTTGGTCAATGACCTCGTCATGCGTCACTGATTTTGTATTACATTCGCTTAAAACACTTCTGCTGTGCTTCGCATTTTCTTTTTAATTTTAATTTCATTTCTAGCATTGTAATATGTGATCAGTGTTTTCCCTGTTCATCTTGCAATTAACAGTTCTCCTATCCCACTCCTTTTCTCCCCCCCTTGGCTCTGTGGCCATGACTCCACCAGTCCCCAAGTTTTCCATAAATCTGGGAGGATTCCTAACACTTTTTCTTTCAATGTTATAATAAATCGATCAACCAATAAATCAGAATATGATTAAGTTTTCTTTAAGGAGCAGTCTCCTATTTCTGTTCTCATTATTTTTCACCCTGCTTCTCCACCCAGCTGACTCCTACTCTTTTATTTCTTGGTCTCACTCTCACATAATCTTTATATCTGTGTCTCCCTTTGGGCGTTATCCTTGTTTTTATTGTTTTCTGTAATAGCACTCTCTAATTTTAACTCACATTCTTATTTCCACACTTATTATTTTCAGCACAAACTGGAAGCTTGTCAAATACATACTCTCAAGCCCCACTCCAGACCTGCTAAGTCAAAATCCACACTTAAACAAGGTCCCCAGGTTATCCATATCTACATTCAAGTTTGAGCAGCACTCACTTCTCTCTAGAGCCTGTAACTAAAGGAATGAACATTTTATCAACTGATGCCCTTTGAACCATCTACACCTACGTTATATCATTCCTCTATCTTCCTATCCACGACCATCGTCCATGTCTAAGCACCTCAGACTTCTTTAACTTGTTCACAACAAGCTCCTGCTTAACGTCATTCATGGTTCTCTTTTCCAAAATCTATTTGCAGTACAAGAACTGGAATGTTCTGTTTTAAATCACAAATACATCCATCCTTGTGTAACACTTGCCAGTGGCTGTCCACTGGTTTACAAAAAAGCCGAGAGCAGTCAGCATGGTTCTAAACAACATTCTGCCACTGCCTCCTCCAGTATGGCTCACATTCCTGCCCCACCCCCCACTTTGTTTTCTCTGCTCCAACCTCCGCCAACTTTCATCAAGGAAAGGATGAGTTCTCTGAATATTGGGTTCTCTGCTACCTCAGGGATTTACATACTCATCTTTCCCAATTGAAATACTCTCTCCACCCTCATCCTTCCCACCTATAAACCCTGCTCAACCATGTATGCAGCTAAATCCCACTTAAATAATTTTCCCCATCTAGCAGTCTAACCTGAGTCTCAGGTTAGGTCCTGTTATTACAGGCTGTCCAATGTCTCTGGTTTTTCATTATTTACTTAAAATTGCCTCCCATGCTAGATTGTCACTCTCTGAGAAAATGACATGTGAAATGAGTCCTGAATTATGAGAATTATGGGATTCCTTTGGTAAAAACTTTTGTTCTATCTAATGAGAGGAAATTATCTGGTGCAAAGGCAGAATGGCAGAGAAAATCTTGATTATCTTTAAAAAAGTTTTTTTCCTCGTCATATTACATACGCCGAACACATTATTTACTAACCAATTTAAGCTTTACTCCACTTTCAAAATCACTTACTATAAATCATGACTTTCTAATAGTTACACATTTTACATTTAAGCAAGAGTACTCCGTAAAATAATCATTACAAAGGATCAGGTACTTTTTGCCAACTGTAGTGTGGCTGACCCTCTGGAATCTGTTTAAGGATTTTGATTAGTTTCATTACACATGCCTCACATTTTGCCCTCATTCCTAATAGTCACTGCTCTAACACTGGGAATATTCAGGGCTTTTGCTCCAAGAAGCCTTAGAACTATTGAAAAATGCGGCTCTTTGGTAAGAAAACTTGTTCTTGAATCACCAGCATCCAATCCTGCACAGATTCTGTTTCAGTCATGCCTTAAGATCTTAGTAAAACACTGAGCGTGTGATCTCTACAAATCACTCTTGGCCTATCTTAAGCATGCTCAGCCACATTACGTTTTACATCCGAGCAACTAGGGTTGGCTATGTTGTTTCTCACACAATCATGACGAAAATTTCTGCCTTACAGACAAAAAAAATGCTTTGAGATGTGTCTCTGATTACGTATCTTCCTCCCAAAATTGGGATAAATATGGTCCTAAATAAACATACTAGTTCCAACTCAAGTTTGTTAATTCATCTGTCTTAAGGACTTGTAACCACTAAAGTACCAAAAACCAAACCAAACCCGTTGCCACCAAGTCCATTCCGACTCACAGCGACCCTACAGGACAAAGGAGAACTGCCCTATAGGGTTTTCAAGGAGTGGCTGGTGGATTCTAACTACCGACTTTTTGGTTAGCAGCCAAACGCTTAACCACTACGCCACCAGGGCCCCAGCCATTTAAGGGTGGGAGGTTATATTCCTCACCACAATCTTACTAAATGTGTGACCGGCAATCCTCAACAGAAGTTCTGTCTTGATGAACCACTGAAAACCAAGGGGAACATGGTAAGCAAGAGTCTGGAGGAGGTGGGAACAGGGCATTAAGACTCAGGCTAACTACCGCGGGATTTGATAAGAATCCGACTCTGCGTTTCTCAAAAACTCCCAGGTGAAGCTGACGCTGGTCTGGGAACCACGCTTTTGCTTAGTGAGGATTTAAACGATTTTACCTGTTACCGCACAAGACCCAGGTCCACTTCACCTATTCTGCCTTCCCGACCCCGGAAGCGCAGAAACCAACTGCAGACCAGACGCACACGGGAGGGTTGGGCCGGGCTCTCCGAGGAGGAGGCAGCGGCGGAAGCAGCGGCGGCAGGCCTCGGGCACAGTGCGGCTACAGAAAGCCGCGGGGCTCTGGAGCAGCCCAGGGAGGGCGGAGAGGCCAGGACCACTAAGAGAGCTGGACTAGCCCTCAGCCCAGCGGGGTGCTTCTGCTACTGGACCAGGTTGGGCCCCGACACACGCAAAACCTACCTCACACCGTAGCCAGCGCACAACCAAATATGGCCACTGGTCTGTGTATGCGCACTTCCGCTTCCGGTTTGTGGGACTCTCTGTGCCTAGGTGGAGGGGGTTCCGTGCGCGAACCCAGAGAGTCTAACCAGTGACTTGGCTTTTAGTGGCTTCCGCTTGGAGTTGGGATCTGTCCACTGCTGTCTTTATTTCCTCTGTAGAGAAAAGCCTAGGTTTTCTTAAACGCGTGTATAACCGTAAACGCGGATTTCTGTGGTCAAAGATTTCTAATACCCGTGGGGAGCAGAAAAAATTGGTATTTGCATATTTGGCCATGAAAAAAAATTTACCGCATTCTTTAGAGAAGTATTTTTTTTCTCCTCATAAAAATTTGTCCATCTGTAGAATCCTAGAGGTCTGAAGTGTTGGCTTATATTCTGCGGTTTAATAATCTCTTGCCTCCCAGGAGCAAACCCAGTCTGATCTCTCCAAGGGCTGAGGAACTCGGAGAGAGTAGTTTTCGAGGGTGAGAGGCAGGAGACAGCATTTCTTATGAGGAACAGCATGTAGAGATTGAAGTACTTTTGAAAATGACAATTATAAACAGCTTTTACTTTTTTATCAGGCCTAACACGCATATAGTAAATTGCATACCGTGAACTAATATTAAGTGTACAATGTGATAATTTTTTACATATGTATATACATTCATAAAACCACCTCTGAGATTCCCAATTGATATTCCTCCCTTCCCCAATTGATATTGTCCTTGGGAGTAGCCAGTGTTCTGTTATCCCCAGAGAGAAGTTTTGCAAGTTCTTGGTCTTCATTTAATTGGAATCATATTGTATGGAGTCTGTTGTGTCTGAATTGATCTATTCAACGTCTGTGAGATTTTATCTATGTTGTTACATATGACAGTAATTTGTTCCCTGTTTACTGCTGTGTAGTATTGAATTGTATGACTATATCACAATATTTTAAAAATTCATCACCTGTTATTAAGGTTTATATTATAACAGGATTATATATATACATATGAATATTTAATGAGAACTTCAAAATAATGTGTCTTCTGCTGCTTGTTGGATGGAATGTCAGTGAATGTCAATTAGGCCAAGTTGGTTAATGGTGTTGTTCAGGTCTTCTATTTGTTTGCTGACTTCCATATCCTTGTGATTTTTTTTTCTATTTTTTCTTTCAGTTCTATCAGTTTTTCCTTCACATACGTTGAAGCACTGTTTTTAGGTGTATACACATTTTGATTGTTATGACTTCTTATTGCATTCCCCTTTTATCCTCGTATAGTATCCCTTATTATTTCTGGTAATCTTCGTTATAGCTGTCCTCCCTTGCTAATTATAATGTCTTTTCTGAGGGTGAGAAGCCTGGCTCCCAGCCGCACAGACACAGTTACCTCCTCATGGTGTTCCCACAAGTGTTGTCCAGGTACTCCCTGCACACACCGGAGTGGGGATGGAGTGTGGCCCGAGGGGGACAGCAGGCAGCAAGGGCTCCAATCTCATCGTCCGCACTGCAACCCCCACGGGACAGAGGATCTCCCTCAGCCATGACCCCAGCCCTTGGTGAGGACCCCTCCATGTGTGCTCCATCCTGTCCTTGAGCATAGTCGGCAGGTGCCCTGACATCCCAAAGTGACAGAAGGTGAAACGATGAGAATTAGCAGTGCAGGGACTCCAGAAAAGAAAGCAGTCCTGAACATAGGACTGGAACAGTAAACACAGACTCATCCCCTTGGGGGACCTATGGGTTAATGGGGGCCAGTGTGGTCTGGGATAGCCCAGTGCTCCATGGAAACTCCCTCTTGGCCAAGAGCGTGGTACCACAGCAACAGCAGCAGTGACACACCAGGGCCCCAGCCTCAGGGGGTCCTGGTTCACGGCCAGGGTCTAAGATCCCCACCACTGTGACCCCTCACTCCAGACTGCTTCCTCTGGCCTCATTCCTTCTCTCAGCAAAAGAGTTGAATGCTCACTCCAGCCAGGCTCAGGGATGGAGCAGGACAAACCAGGTCTTCATTCTCCCAGGCTGAGGGCCTGCATGTGGACTACACAAGCATAGGTGAGGGGCACCCAGCAGGCTTCCTGGTGGTGGTGGTGGTGGCGGTGAGCGGGGGAAATTCACTCTCACTACTCGGAATTCAATTTTAATTTATATTTAATTTATGTTAATATATCAATTTCTAAGTATTCCTATTTGTTCCAGTGTTTTAAAGTGTGCAACAGGCTCAATAAACATCTGTAGAATGGGTAGAGGGATTAGTGAATTATGAATTCTAACATTGACTGCTTCCGTGCTGTGGGTCATGCAGCCTTGATTTTACTGAATCCATTCAGGAACCCTGAGGATGGTGTTGTTATGTTCACAATTACTCTTCTTTTTAGCGATGAGGAAACAGAAGATCAGAGGGGTTCAGTGATAGGCCCAAGGCCAAGCAGCTACAAGCCCCTGCAGTGCACACAAGGGAAATTCGATAACCCCCCAAAATGAGCTCTCTAACTTACTGAAGAGAAGCCAGGTCCAGGGAAACATGAAAGTTCCAGAAGGGGATGGTGGAGATGTGCAGAGCTGCCTCCCAAGTGCTCCCACCCCATGTTCCCATGACCCATTCCCATGTTCCTGGGACCTCTACCATGTCTGTGGGCTTCCTCTTCAAGTCCCTTGCCCTCCAACCCATGTCCCTGGGTCCCCTCCCCATTACTGGAGCCCACTGCCCAAGTTCCCGTGCCCTCTCCTAATGTCCCTGGGCCCCCTGCCCATGTCCCTGGGTCCTGTCCCTATATCCTAATGCCCCCTCATCTCCTAGGGCCCCCTCATCATGTCCCCAGGCCACCTCCCCATGTTCCTGGAACCTCTCCCCATGTTCCTGGGGCTCCTCCCTATATCTGTGGGTTCCCTCCTCATGTCTCTGGGCCCACTCTCTATGTCCCTGGGAACAATCCCATATCCCTAGGATCCCTCCACATGAGCCAGGACCCCCTTCCCATATCTCTGGGTCCCTACCTGACATCCTTGAGGCTCCTTCTTATGTCCCTGGGGCCCCTTTGCATGTTTCCAGGCCCTCACCCTATGTCCCTGGATGCCTTCCTCACATCCCTGGGACTCCTCACCATTCACCTGGGCCCCCTGCAAATGTCCCTGGGGCCCCACCCATGTCATTGGCCCACTTCCTGTGTTCCTGGATTCGCTCCCCATATCTGCATACCCCCTCCACATTTACCTGGGTCCCCTCCCCATGCCCCTGGGTCCTGTCTCCATGTCACTAGGCCCCTTTACCATGTACCTCGGAGCAATCCCATGTCCCAGGAACACCTACCCATTATCTCTGGTCTTCCTCCCCATGTCCCTGGGCCCACTCGCCATGTCCCCAGGATTTCTCTCCATGTCCCTGGATCCACTCCCTATGTCTCCATGCCCCTTCCCTATCTTCCTGTGATTAATCCCAGGTCCCTGGGACACCTTTCCATGTCTCTGGGCCCTATCTTCGTGTCCCCGGGCCCCTCTCCATGGACCCATGCACCATCCGCATTCCCTGACCCCCTCCCCATATCCCATGGGACCCTTCCCATGTACCTGGGCCCCCTCCCCATGTCCTTTGGGTCCCCTCTCCATATACCTCGGACCACTTGCCATGTTCCTGGGCTTCCACATCATGTCGCTTGGCTCATCTCCACATCCCTGAACACCTTCCCTATGTTCTGGAGCACTCTCCCCATTTGCAGGAGCAAATACTGAAGGGTGAATACAGTATTCCCTTCCACATGTCTGTGGAATGTGAAAACCTGCTGAAGAAAATTCTCATTGACTCCAGCAAGAGAGGCACTGTAGAGGAAATCCTGAGACATCTACAAATGAATGTGGGCCATGAACATGAAGAACTGAAGCCATGTGTGGAGTCACCCCTGACAATAATGACCCCAGTGGGTTGAGTTGAAGGTATTCACAGCTTACATACAGGAGATAAAGGACTCACTGATGGGCCAGAGGTACAATGACATGATGGCCATCTAGCTTCTCCTGGAAATAAGAGATCTGAGTTGGAGTGACAAACCAGCACCCTGAAACCCTATCTTTCAGCTGATCAGACTGATAGCAGCACTCCTTCCCCATCCTACAAGGTACAGCATAGCGTCTCTGCTCTACCCAAGCATTGCATTACAAAGAACTTGCCACTCGCACTTCTAATTCCTACTTTAAGAAAAACTAAAAAAATAAGTGGACCCAGGAGGATCAGGAGTCAGGGTGGAAACCAGCAGCAGAACCATCATACATGCCAGTGCCGTAAGCATCCTGGACAGGAAGAAGACCATCCCTGTGTCCTCCATGAAAACTGACCCCTTCACCATCACAAATGAAAGCAGGAATTCCCCACTTTTGGAGAAGGCCAGCCTTAGCCAGGTCAACATCTAGAATAGCATAAACAGGCTATCCGATCCAGGTTCTGGGGCCTCCATGGTGTCTTCTTCTCCCTCAGTCTGCCCAGCACTGCACCAAGAATCCAAGATGGCCTTGGTGCAGCCCAACCTGTTCTCTGGATTGTGCCCCACAGTAACTGTAAGGTGCCACAGCCCAGCACAACCCCTCCATATGTCTCTGTGGCTTCCTCCTCAGCCCATACCATCAGCAGCAGCAATGGAGTGCTAGAGGGAACCATTTTCCCTCAGGGAGTGCCAAGAGTAAGCTCCTTCCATGCTGAGCAACTGCTAGAGGTGCCTGACCAGAACTTGCCCCACAGTGTGATCCCAGACTCCCTCTGTTAACAATGAGGGCTGGCAGGGGGCCACTGAGAGGTTCTTCCAGTTTATAGGAAGAAATCTTTGCTTCACATATGATAGAAAAAACCTAGAGGAACCTGAAGTCAAAGATGGACTGGAGATGCTCAAGCCCCCAGAGGCCAACCTACACTCACTAAGGTTTACATGGAGAACGAAGATCACTAGCTCCATGGAGCCTGATGAGATGATGTGGGAGATCTGCCAAATGCTGGATGCCAACAGCTGTGAGTGAGCTGGATACCAACACCCAAAAATACATGCTACTGTGCACA